AGTTGCCCATTTTCTTAGTTTTTGAACTCTTATTTCTGTGTGTCTGCATTTAACTTTACTGACATAGAACTCCCTTAAGAACTTCTTGGAGGTCTGGTCTGGTGCTGGTAAATTCTTTCAGGTTTTGTTTATCTGGGAATGTTCAGTGTCTTTTCTTCCCAAATGAATGATAATCTTGCTGGGTATAGTATTCTTGGTTGAAACAGCTTTTCCCTTAACACTTTGAATATATTTTCCCATTCTTTCCTCGTTCGCATTGTTTCGGATGAGAGGTCTGCTGTCAGTCTGATGGGATACCCTTTGTGGGTAACTTGCCATTTTTCTCTTGCCAATCTTAGTATCTTTGTCTGTGGTTTTGGTCAATCTGGCTATAATGTGTCTTGGAGAAGATCTTCTTCGGTTGATTCTATTTGGGGTCCTCTGTATTTCTTGGAACTGAATCTTTGAGTGCCTAAGGCTTCTAGTCCTTGAAAGGGGGTGTTTTCAAATGCTTCCCATTAGGCTGGGCTGAGCGAATCCAACAAGGAATAGACCATCTTGTGGTAAGGCGTCTGTAAATGATCACCCACTTGGTCAAAAGCATAACCTACCACGTTAAGCCCTGCTTCAGTAAGTTCCAGGCAGCATCTATTCCACTCCTTTGTTTCTACATTGACATAGGCTACATCGTCTGCACAGCGCAGAGTCTATTTCTTTTTTTGGGTGGGGGGAGAGGTTTTCGCTATAGGGCACGTGCGCTCGCCAGACAGAGAGAAACAGAGACAGAAAGCGAGAAATCATCCCCTAGGGGGGATGGTCACGCCGCAATCCCTTCTCCTCCATTTTCCTCTCGGGATCTTGGGCACGCACGCACACACGCCCAGCGTGAGTTTTAAGCCACCGGGTCCGGGACGCGAACCACGGTCAACTACATGGAAGTCCAGCAACATAGCCATTACACTAACTGCTGGTTCCCACACAGTGCAGGGTCTTTGAGACAAATATTTTGTTGACCACAAAGAGCACATCATTTACGACTGCTTCTACTTCTAGCAGCATGTCTTTCCTATCAGTTCCTTCAAAACCATTAAGCTCGGAACTTCAAATCCTGACATACTGCTTAGCTCCATGGGATTACTGTCTGTTTCCATTCTGCGCTCGCCCAGTGTCCTTCTCCTCCCTTGGGGGCCAACCCCAGGTACCGCCGCCCCCTTCTCCCCAGACCCTTGACTTTGAAGGAACCTGTGACCTGCATTAAAAAAAAAAAAAAAAAGATGGTTAAGGCACAGAGTGCATGCACCCACCAGAGAGGATGTTGCAATCCCTTCTCCATTCTCCTCCTGGAATTTTAGGCACACATGTGCTCATGCCCAGCATGATTTTCAAGCTGCCAGGCCTGGGACTCAAACTGTGGTCAGCCATGTGGGAGTCCAGTGCCTTAATCACTAGACCACCTGTTGGCCTCAATCTGTGACTTGCTTTTAACCAACAGAACAAGGCACAAGTGGCAGGATATATGGCATCATATGCATATGATTACAAGATCATGTTACAAAAGATAGTAGCATACATTTGCAGAGTTTCTCTCTCCCTTCTTGGCTTTTTGGCAAACAGTCATGTTGGTGAATTCCACATGGCCAGAAACTGTGGGTGGCCTCTAGGAGTTGAGAGTAAGTAGCCTCCACTCCACAGCCAGGAAGTCCTCAGTCCTACAGCTGCAAGGAATCAAACAAATTCTGCCAATAATCTGAGCAAGTTTAGGTCCTTCTCAGTCAAGTTCCAGAAGATACCATAGCCCTAGCTGATAATATGACTGCGTCCCGAGCAGAGAAGCCAGTAAAGCCCACACTCATGATCCACCCAGGCTGTAAGATAATAAATGTATCGGTTTAAACTACTAAGCTTAGAACACTGTGAGACAGCAACAGATAATAAAACACATGTATGGGAACCAGCAGGTGGCATGATGGTTAAGGTGCTGGACACTCCCACAGGGCTGACCACAGTTTGAGTCCCAGACCTGGTAGTTTGCTTTCTCACTCCACGCCTCCTCTCCCCCCCACCCCCCAGTGTCTCTCTCTGGTCAAATTAAAAATAAAGGAATGAATACATAAAAATTAAATAAATAATTTAAAAAACACATGTATGAAAATGTCTGGAAGAATATATACCAAAATGCTAACAGTAGTTATATTTGAGCGTTTGGACTAGGAGTATATTTAAAAAATTATGCTAGGGGCCAGTAGGTGGCATGATGGTTAAGGCAGCTGGATTCCCACATGGCCGGTCACCATTCCAGTCCCAGACACAGCACCTGACACTCACGACAGACACATGTCTGTGCATGCCCAAAATGCTGAGCGGCGAATGGAGAGGGGACTGCAGCATGGTCATTCCCCCAGGGAGTGATTTCTCACTTTTCTTGTCTCTGGCTAGGACACTCATCCTATGGCAAAAATATAAATTTAAAAAATCTAGATTCCAAGTAGCCTCTAATATGCATACAATACTTACATAATCATTAAACATTTTAAAGGAGGGCCAGGAGGTGGCACGGTGGTTAAAGGCACTGGACTCCCACATGGCCAACAGTGGTTCAAGTCCTGGACCTTGTGGCTTGCTTTCTCACTTTCTCTCTCTGGTGAGCATGTGTGCCCTATAGCAAATTGAAATAATAATAATAAAGAAAGATAAATTAATCCTTAAAAAAGAAAAAACAGGTTTTAAAAGAGACACTAGATGCAAAAACTGCTGGCCAGGTCCAAACCCTCCACACCAGGTCCTGGCCTGCCCCGTGCAGGAGTCACAGAAGCAGACCCTGCAGTGCGGCTTTACCTCCAGTGGAGCTGATGCTCTCGTCAAACATTTTCTCTATCTCGGCCAGGTGTATCTCGGTGAATAGCTGAGTCTTGTGCTGAACATCGGGCAGCTGGCTCTGGGTGACGGATGGTTTCGGGGCGCTAAGAGCCTCCTTGTTCTGGAATCCTGTTATTGACAGCTAGAACGAATATGACCAGAAACACCAGGGTGTGAGAGGGCTAATTTCCTGAGCCAAATATTTTTCAGCACATTTTATTTAAAGAAAGACTCTGGGGACCAGCAGATGGTGTAATGGTTACATTGCTGGACTCCCACATGGCCAACCACAGTTCGCCCTGGACCGAGAAGCTTGAAACTCAGGCCCAAAATCCTGAGAGGAGAATGGAGGAGAAGGGATTGCAGCATGGCCATCCCCTCAAGGGGTGATTTCTCGCTTTCTGTCTCTCTGTTTCTCTGGCAAGCACACACGCCTTATAGCAAAAAAAATCTCAAAAAAAAAAGAGAGAGAGAGAAAGAGAGACTTTGGAGACTTTGGGGGATAAAGATAAGTGGTGCTATAATGTTATTAACTGATTTTTTGAAGAATTATTTTAACTATTTATTTATTTAAATTTGACCAGAGAGGGACAGAGTGACAGAGGGAGAAAGTAAGAACGTAAACCACCAGGTCTGGAACTTGAACTGTGGTTGGCCACGTGGGAATCTAGTGCCCCTAACCACCATGCCACCTGCCAGCCCCATTAACTGATTTTAAATAGTCTTTTTTTTAGGGGGGGGAGGGGCGGGATTTTTTTGCACTCACCAGAAAGGCAAAGAGACAGAAAACAAAAAATTATCGTCCGGGGGGATGGCCATGCTGCAATCCCTTGTCCATTCTCCTCCTGGGATTTTGGGCATGCACATACATGTGATTTTCAAGCCACCAGGTCCAGGACTCAAACATGTAAGAGTCCAGCATCTTAACCATTAATCCATCTGCTGGCCCCCAAACAAGTAAATCTTAACCACTCTTATACCTAAGAAGAGTCAAAAAATCAAAACTGCTTCTTCTCTTCACAGTGGGAAGTTACATGCTGTTCCCTTTTGAAATGCCATGACTGAGGCTCAGTGAGCTTAGAGGACACAGGCAGTCCCACCTAGCAGGACTCTTAATTTATTTTTTAAAGAATTATTTTATTTAACTTTACTTATTATTATTATCATTATTATTTTCCAGTTTGATTAGAGAGAGACAGAGAGAGAGAGGAAGTGAGAAAGCAAGCCACCAGGTCCGAGACTTGAACCGTGGTCGGCCACATGGGAGTCCAGCGCCTTTAACCACCATGCCACTTGCTGGCCCCACAGGACTCTTATTTATAAGGTGCTTTGGTTCAATATCTACATTGTTTCCAAATCTTTTTTTTTTAATTTAGAAATTTATTCTGTTTAATCCACAAGCTTTATATAGCTTTAGTTTAAAAAAAAAAATCCAAAACAGTGAAACCAAGACACTATATTTCTTTTTTTTTAATAGTTATTTATTTAATTTTATCTATCCATTCATTTATTTTAATTTGACAGAGAGAGATGCACAGAGAGAAGAGAAGGAAAGTAAGAAAGCAAGCCACCAGGTCTGGTATTCAAACCGTGGTCGGCCATGTGTGAGTGTCCAGCGCCTTAACCACCATGCCACCTGCTGGTCCCCAAGACACTATATTTCAAAGTCTGGGCCCTTCCAGCCTTCCAAATCTTTTATGGTCAGAATTCAAGACTCCAAAGAATGCAGTTCTATCTCCCCCACCCAGTTTAATCTGGTTTTGATAGCCCGGATGTCCCACCTGGGTCACATCAGCTCACTTGCCCAACTCCTTGGCTCCTCCCTCCACACACCAAAGCTCAGGCAGACCCCTCCATCGGGGGCTTTCCATCAGCCGCCTCCCACTACTCAGATCCCTCCAAAAGCCTTCCCTACCTTTCCAGCCCTCAACAATGCTTCCTCTCCTCAGCACCTACATGTGACTTACTTGGACACTTAAGACAATGTTTCAGGTCACTAAAGGCTCAGGTCATCAAAGGCTGCCTCTTCCAAAAGGCTCCAAGGTGGACAATTAGATGACCACTGAGTGGCAACAAGCTGCTGCTCACTCAGACACATGGCTTTGGGCCTCGGGCCATAGCCCAAATACACAGGATTGAATTATTCACTCTCAGCACCCCGATCCCACTGAAAGAGCAAACATGCTCATCCTCCTGCAAATGTCAATCATTTGCCCATGGTCCATGCAGTTACAGGGTGCCAGGCACTGTGGGTACAACATAAACAAAGTGGACAGTCCCTGATCTCACAGAGCTCAACAGGTGAGCAAGTTAATGCTCTCACCATCCACCTGGGCCCCGAAGTAAGAATCTGCACTATCTTCAGCTCCTCCACCTCCTCCTTCCTCCCATGCGCTCCCACTGTCCTTCCCATTGATTCTTATGGTGACCTGTCTCCTACATATAAACCCTCCTCTCTGCATTCCCACCCCACCCTGAACCTGGTCTTTTGCTGGGACAGAGACCTCTCCTGAGACTAGAATTTGGCCTTCCCTTCCAATCCACCTCCCAACACAAGCACCAGCCATCCTCTTAGGAAGCAGTTCTAACCAATGACTTTACCCTGGCTCTAACGCTCCCCATGGCTAGTCCCTCCATCCCCGACTCCTGAGTGTGGCATTCAAAGCTTTCACAACCGAGCACAGGCCTATCTTTCTAGTTTCAATACACATGCCAGGCTCCAGTATACCAACTGCTCTCCACCATCCCCAAACACAGCAAGCCTTCCACTCTACTCCCATTGTTCCCTGCACACGATACCTCTCCTGTCCCTGCCATAGTTTGACTGTTTCCCCCAAAGTCATGTGTTGGGACTTAGCTGTACTGGAAACATGTTAAGCGAAACCCTAATCCATTCATGGTATCATAGAGTGGGGCTTTTGGGTGTGATGAGGTCATTAGAGCAGAGCCCCTATGATTGAGTTGTAGTGGGTTTCTAACCAGGTGGAGACCAAAACAGGCAGAAATCCATGGACAGCTGCTCTGCTCAAGATCCTGCCCTCTACCATATTACAACCTCACTGGAAGTTGGCCACTGGACCTTGGACCTCCAAACTGGGAGCTGAATAAGCCTCTACTCTTGGACTGGTCCCAAGGACTAGCTTAGTACTTAAGGGAGCCAGAGCCCACATGGCCCACCGCAGTTTGAATCCCAGCCCCTATAGCTTGAGAAACACCAGGCATGTGTGTGTGTGTGTCCCAAATGTGGCCAGGATGGAGAAGGGATTGCAGCATGACCATGCTCCATTTGGGGTGCTTTCTCCTCAATGCTTCTCTTCTCTCCTGCCCCACAGTCTCTCTCTGGCAAGCACTCATGCCCTCTGGCAAAAAAAATAAATAAAAATAAAATTTAAGTTTCAAAAACCCCCTATTCTCCTTTATCCTTACTAGTCACCCTGTTTCAAATATTTCTGCTGCCAACACAATTGTGGATTAATATACTCCAGAGGTGAAGTTCTACCCATTCTCTAGAATTTCGCTTAGATGGCATGTCCTCCAAGGAGCTTTTCCATACTTTCAGAGAACCCCACTCCTACTCTCAAACCCCCAGGCACTTAGTACATATCTGCCAGTCATGGGATGATACATGTCCACATCACTTCAGACATGTAGACAGCAAGGTGGTGGGGAAGATGCAACAGCCAGAGCTTTGGGTTAGAACTCTGCATGGCTCCCTCCACTTACTGCTATTTTAACTCAAGTACATCACATGACTTCTCTGAGCCACAGGTTCTTCCACAAAATAGAGATCCACAGTAACCACCTGGCAGGGTAGTGGTTAGACCTAGATGGCACCTGAATACATGTGAAGCCACAGCAAACCAGTTACACAACAAATCATAGCTCTTGCTACTCCTCATAGTGAGCTCTTTGAAATCCAAGGCCAGTGGCTGGGAGGTAGTGTGGTGGTCAAAGGCATTGGGCTCCCACATGTCCGACCGTGGTTCAAATCCCAGACCTGGCAGTTTGCTTTCTCACTTTCTTTCTTTCTCTCTCTGGTCAAATTAAAATAAAGTTAAATAAAATAATTCTTTAGAAAAAAAAATAAAAGGAAGAAGAAAGAAAGGGCTAGGAACTAGCAGATAGAGTAATGGTTATGTCACTGAACTCCCATGTAGTCGACCATGGTTCAAGTCCCAGACTGGCAGCCTAAAACTCACGCCAGGCATACGTGTGTGCGTGTCCAAGAGCTTGAGAGTACAAAGAAGGAGAAGAGATTGCAGTGTGGCCATCCCCCCAGGGGATGATTTCTCGCTTTCTGTATCTCTGTCTCTGGTGAACACACAAGCTCTATAGCAAAAATCGCTCCAAGAAAGAAAAGGATTCTGTTAATTAAACCAGAATTTCACTTGTAGGTATTACCTGTACACTCCCCAGCCCCACATAACACACTCAATGAATATCTGGCTTGATGATAACACACAGCCCGTCCCACCACTATCACAACTTTGCTCGACAACATGAAGTGCAGTCCACAGGTAGACTACAAGTCTGCAGCCTCGGGTGTATTGCACTTGGTCCATGTAGTGCCTTCAAAGGAAAAGCCAGGGGCCAGCAGGTGGCGTAATGGTTATGTCACTGGATTCCCACATGGCCGAGTTTAGTACAAGTCCCAGATGCAGTGGTTTGAAACTCACGCCAGGCACATGTGCATGTGTGCCCAAAAATCCCAAGAGGAGAATGGAGAAGGGACTTCAGCATGGCCATCCTCTTGAAGGGTGATTTCTCACTTTCTGTCTGATAAGTGCACATACCCTATAACACAAATCTCTAAAAAACAAAAAACAAAATAAAAAGGAAAAAACCAGCCTGCCCCAGCACACTAATGGTGCCCACCTCCCTGCCCTGTATAATTAATATCTGAGTTCGCAAGCCCTAGTGCAGAGACCAGCAGACTCCTATGCTGAAATGTGATGTTTTGGTGGCTCTCAACTGCCCCCTCCCTTTATTAACTCTGGTGGCTTTCTTACCTTTAGAGCTTGAGTGTTCTCTCGTGAGCTCTCAGAAGACATTAGTCTTGACCTAGAATAGGGAATTAGGTGCTTTAACTCCAGCCTCTGTAAGGACCCCATGGATGACCTAGTCAAGTCACAAGCAAAGTCAGGGTCAAGGGAGAGGGTCACTACCTCCTGCCTGTGGACAGGCCCAGCAAGCATTTGGGGAGCATCCCTTTCCCCGGGAGACTTTTCCAGCAGTGACCTTGCCCCAGGCTTGCACCTGAGCCTTCCTTCCCTGATCTATGGCTCCATTGAAGCCATGTGACTTCTCAAGTTACTTTACTCCCTAACTTAATACCAGAGGCTTTCTAAAGGAGGCCACACCTTTTGACAGAATTAGAAGGGGCTTAGGAGGCCATGTGGTGGCACAAGTACAATTTGCAGATGAAGGAAATGAGGTACCAGGGCAAGTACATGTCCCAGGGGTCAGAGAATTGCACCAGAAGTGGGGCAGGACAGGCCCCTGACTTTCCACTGCATACACCCTCCCCCTCCCCCACACCACCTTCCAATGCCCTTGGAGACAGAACCCTTCTCACAGCAGCTGGAGGGTCAGATGAGAGCATGTGGGACAGGTCCACTCCACAGAGCTCTGCTCTGTGAATAGGAAGGTTCGGTGGCACTGCAGTCAGTGACATCTCCACGCAAGGCAAAATAGCACTGTGGTTAGATTACTGGGGCACCAATCTACCTCACCAGTAAGCTGTACCAGGCGAGTGGAAAGGGCACTGCAGGATGGCATGGGAACAGCCAGGAAAGTCAAGCCCAAGACATGCAGAAGGGACAGACCAAATCAGTTCACTTGGTTTGACCAAAGGGATCCTGGGAGGCAAAGGGCATGATTAATGGGAGAGAAATGAAAAGAAAAATTGGAAGCAGAGTGTAGAATCTTAAGGATCTGGCCAAGGAGTATGAAACAGGGTAACGGGCAATTACAAATAGTCATCAGTGTAAGATAGAGAGGAGGAAGACAAAACTGGCCAAGAGTGTCCTATCCTAACAGTGTCTTGGCCACAGCTCAGATCCAAGAACCAAAAGAAAAATATGAGCCAAAGAAAAGATTTGGAGGCCAAGAAACAGGGTAAGTGAGGGAAATGCCGTAACTATTTCCAGAAAAAGGGAGTAAAGAGGGAAAAGCAGTTTAACGCATGTGATACTCGGCTGTTCAAACAGAAATCAAAAACAAATACTTGAAAATCTAGCAACTGAAACTCAAGGAATAGCTACTTTTTGGGGAAGGGCTTTTGCTATAGGGCACATGCTCTCACCAGACAGAGACAGAGAGAAAGTGAGAAATCACCCCCGGGGGGATGGTCCTGCTGCAATCCTTTCTCTTCCATTCTCCTCTTGGGATCTTGAGCACGCAAACACATGCCCAGCGTGAGTTTAAGCCACCGGGTCTGGGACTCTAGCCACGGTCAACTACATGGGAGTCCAGAGACAGCCATTACACTAACTGCTGGGCCCAAAGGGAATTCTTTATACTATTCTTATGACTATTTAATATATTTTTAAGTTATTTGATAACTGAAAGTTCTGTAAGAAAAACATGTCTCTAACCAGAACAGTTCTGTTCATGGTCATGGACTGAGCAAAGCATCAAATGGAAAAAAAAAAACCTGATTGCTGGCAACAGACCACCCAAAAGAGAAGGGCAAGAGAGAGAACTACTACTTCAACACTGGGAGGGAGAAGAGAAAACAGGCCAGATCTGAAATAACACCCACTGGTCTCAACTGACTCCCTAAAGTTGACCTGCCCAGAGCAGACTGAAGAGAGTAATGATTGCGGGGAGGGTATGAATCTGGAAACAAGGGTGAGTTTAGAACAGCCACTAGAACATGCTAGGAATGGGAGGGAATCATTGGTTTGCTGTATTCAATCATTGGTTTAATGCAATCATTGGTTTGACAAGCATTATTGGCTTGTAAAAATTTATGGGGGGATGATGTAAGACTAACAGAAACAGGTAAGAAATGTTCTTTCTCCTGGTTCCCATTTGACCTTTGATGTCAGGAAGTGAATCTTAAAGCCATGATGTTTACTTTTTTTTTTTTTTAATAATAGGTCATGTGCACTCACAAAGGTGAGAGGAAAAGTGAGAAAGCACTCACCAAGGGGAATGGCCAAGCCACAGTCACCTCTCAAGTCTCCTCTCAGGACTTGGAGCATGTACACACACACACCGAGCATGATTCTCAAGCCTCCAAGGCTGGGACTCAACCACAAAGCTGGCCACACGGGATCCAGTGCCCTAACCTCCACACCACCTGCTGGCCTGATGTCCAAATTTTTAAAGAACAACTTTATCCCTGATGCTCACTCACCCTGACCCCATTTGATCTCCCCAGTTAATCTGGCTGGAAAAGGCTGGCAGAGCATTACTGGACTCCTGTCCCATCTGAGACATTTTGGCAGCTGTCTCCTAGTCCAAGACAGCTCCTCTATGAAGTCACTGTAGAACTCTTGAGCAGTTGACAACAGTCAGCTGGTCATATTTAGAACCAGGGGAATGAGACAGAATTCCATATGAAGATCATAAACAGAACATCAGACTCCATCCCATAAACCATGAACACACAGCCATTTTTCATCTAATTCAAGACATTCTCTTTATTGATAAAGTTGAACTTCTAGCAGACAGTGAATGACAGGGGCTACAGCACAAATAAGGCAAGTGGGAGTACAAACAATCCATTTAAGTACAGAGTTCACCTCTCACGGAAACCATGGGCAATGCCAGGGAGTCCTCTGATAAAGCAGGGTTCTCCAAAACCAAAGGCCAGCTGGCTCCCACCATTGGTACGGTAAAAGGCACCATGGCTCTCTAACCCGCTCTCTGCATCAGCTCCAATAATTTGACAAGAAGATGACAGAGCATGATGTGTGAGATGACTTTGAGCAGGCCTGGACTTGATGTGGTCACTGTGCAATCTTGGTTCATGGTACCATATGGCAGCACAAACTATTGGGAAGCCTGTTGAGAGAGATTTCAACCAGGGATGTGGAAGCCAAATTTTAAGGTACCCAGCTCAATCACATCTCATGAACTAAGTGTCACCAAAATGTTGTGACCAGAAAACTAAACCTTCTCCCCATGGGCCAGCCAAGTGGCACAGTGGTTAAGGTTGTTGGATCCCACATGGCTGACTGCATGGTTTAAGTTCTGGACCCAGTGGCTTAAAATCATGCTGGGCATGTGTGCATATGTACCCTAAATCCTGAGAGGATGGAGAAGGGACTGCAGCATGGCTATAAAGCCCCCCCAGGGGGAGGGGTGATTTCTCAATTTCTCTCCCTTGCTGTCTCTGGTGAGTACATGTGTCCTACAGCAAAACGTTAAAAAAAAAAATTCCAGAGAACAGTAAACATACAAAAAAATAGAAGTTTTTGTTACTACTTCATCAATAATGGATACAAAAGGTTTTGTCACATTAAAGAACATTGAAAGTAAGGTGACTGATTGAAATGCCAAACAAGATGCATAAGTCTTTTAAATCAAGGTTTTATTAAGCTAGGTATTAACAAAATAGAAGAGTTTATTTAAAAAGCAAAACAAGGTTAATAACTACCTCTATTTTTCTTTTTTGCATCTAAGTTCATTCATTTTCCAATACAATGTTATCTATTCTCAGAGAAGTTTCTGCATTTTTCCAATGACACACACTTACTAGTCAAATAGTATATATTTTTTGACAATATCTTCACTATGTATTAATATGTCTTTTATACATTTTATTTTTTATTTTTAGTTTGCTGTGGGGTCTGTATGTTTCCTGGAGAGACTGAGACAGAGAAAGACAGACAGAGAGAGAGAGAACGCTCCCCATGGGGGCAGCCACACTGCAAACGCTCACCTCCGTTCTCTCTGCATATAAGTACTTGGTATTTTTTTCAAGCTGCCAGGTCCAGGACTTGAACCATATAGTCAACCATGTGGGATCCACTTGCCTTAACCACCATGTTACTACCTGGTCCCTATTAGCATTTTTATAAAGCCCAAAATATGCTAAATTATACCACAATAAATATACCTTTCTCTCCCTTGGAAGAAACTTGAGGGGGAAAAAGGGAGAGATTAAGATACATTCCACTTTTCAGTAAAGAAAAAGTCCAGAAAATGCACACCTGAAAAGAGTAAAGGCAAGTTCATCAATATCTCAGGTTAATACAACCACAACAGGCCCAGCACAGTGACAGAGGAGACAGTGGGCTGCTGTGCAGTGCTAGAAGCCACATGTTAGCCATGGGTCTGGATCCTGAGGCGCCCTGAAACACAGAGTAGGCACCCAAGGGCTAGGGGAAGAGGATCCAGATGTGACAGACTCTGTCAAGAATGTCTGTTTCTTTCTCAAGAAATAAATAAATTTTTTTAAAAAGTGGAAGGGAGGGCATTTCAAAGAAAAACCCCCTAGACAAACCTCTGTATGGAAAATATTCTAGAAAGAAGTCAAAAGTCTTACTTGGGATTAGTTCAGGCATCAATTGCTAATCCTAAATAGAAATCCTTATTCCAAATAAGAGAGGATGTTGCTAGAAGGGAGCAACTAAGGTAGGTGAGGGCTACGATTAACAGACTCAACTATCTACTATGGAGATGCCAACTGCTCACACTCCCACTTAGCAGCAATGCCAATGTCATCCTTGTGGATCTTCAGCACTGCAGAGTTTAAGATATAAAAACTTGGGAACCAGCAGATGGAGCAATGATTTTATCACTGGACTTCCACTTAGTCAATCATGGTTTGAGTCCCGGACTCAGTGGCCTCAAACTCACACCAGGCACATGTGCCCAAGATCCTGAAAGGAAAATGGAGGAAAACGGATTGTAGCATGGCCATCGCCCAAGGGGTGATTTCTTGCTTTCTGTCTCTTTGTCTCTCCAGTGAGTGCACATGCCCTGTAGCAAAAATATTTTTTAAAAAAAAGAAAAAAAAATATTAAAACTTGGGTCAACTCCATGACCTAGTGTTAAAGAGAGCCAGATCCCACATGGCTAACCACGTAATTAAAATCCTAGGGGGC